CCTGCTCATTAGACTAAGATGTCCTCTATCGCTTGCACTCAAGAACCCTGACAGACAGAGGACGAATAGTGAGGGCATGAGACTGGGTAGATGGGCAGGGGCTGACTGGGACAGCCTCGTGTGCTGTAGGAGATAAGTTTCTGGAGCAAGGGGAGGGAAGATGTTAATAAGACTGGGCCCTTGTAGTAAAGATATTTCAATATTCCAAACAAGGATATTGAAAATGAGGGCCTTGACGTGGGCAACAGCATTAGAAATACAGAGAAGGGGAGGAGATAAAGAGCTACATAAGATAGGAAATAGGCAGGATTAGGTAGCAATGGGAAGGGGAGGGGAGGCTACGTGATTTTGGCAACAGAGTGGATTCTTTCATTCATTCACCTACTGCAGGCACTGTCCTAGGGGCCAGGTATACAGCAATAAACAAAACCACGCTCCCCTCCATGCAGTTTACAAACTGGGTTGGGGAAGACAGAAAAAACCACACACAAATAAGCAAAATATCTCCTGTGCCATATTAAGACAAGTAAGCCAGGTGAGGGAAATAAAGTCTAGGGATTGGGGGTCCCTACAGTAAGTGTACAGCAGGGTTTGTGCTGGCAAAGTCTTTGTTGTGAGAGGCTGTCCTGTGCATCGTAGGATACTTAGCAGTTCCAGTTGACTTCTACCAACTAGGAACCAGTAATATCCCCGGACACACACCAGTCATGACAACCAAAAACGTCTTCAATCATTGCCAAGTGTCCCAGGGCAGGGGCGAGGGAAGGTCACCCCTTGTTGAGAAGCACTGCTGTAGATCAGCTTGGGGTTTGTTTTATGGTGCAGCGTATGTCTCTCTTGGCAAATGTTTCACGTACTTGAAAAGAATGTGTTCTGCTATGTTAGTATTCTGAATTTCATGAGGAAACACAGGCACATCATTCTGTAACTAGGCTACACTTTTTAAAAAATGCCATGAAAACAAGCAAAACCTACAGAGGCGTTGTATAAATTAAAAAGGACTAAAGAGACACAACCACCAAATAAAATCTAAGAGCATGGATAAAAAGCTATGACACATTTGGGGGGACAATTGAAACTAAAATATGGACTCTTACATATTACTGAACTTTTAGGGATAGTGATGGTATTTAAGTTATGTAGGAGAATGTCCTTAGTGTTTGGAGATGATGTATTTTAGGATAAAATGTCTTGTCTTCAATCTACTTTCAGATCATTTCCATGTGCATGTGTATACGCTGATAACTAAAACCCACTTGGTTAAAATGTGTCTAAGAATTCAATCTTGTAAGAAAATTTTTTTAGAATATACACAGATAAACCCAGATGCTATATGTCAAACATTTCATAGCAATTTGCCTCTCAGGGTTCATTTATTAAAGACTTTCACAGTTTATGTTAAAATTCAAACACTATAGAAGTGTCTAATACTGAACATTTTTAAAATCAGAAATACTTTTTTTTTGATTGCTTAAAGTATTACAAAGGGTATTATATATGTGTCCTTTTTCCCCCCCGCCCTTCACAGTCCCCTAGCCTCCCCTACCCCCCAGTGTCTTATGTCCATTGGTTATGCTTATATGCATGCATACAAGTCCTTCAGTTGAT